ACCCAGTCATTTTCCCTCATTTCCTTTTTCTCAAATTTTACAGATAAATTTTTTCCGTTTAATTTTCTTTTCTGAATTCTGTTTCTCATCACTGGGTGTCTTCTTGAGTGCTTGGAAATGGTTTTCGAAACTCTTTCATTTGAATTGACAACTTCCTTTAACGATCGAGTCATTTCTACATTTTCACTTTTTGGACACTATTCACTTTTCGTCTTTTGCCCCGTTTGTCACTTTTTGGCACAACCTCACTTTTTGTGCTCGGAGTTGATTTCCGACTTTACGTACCTTCATCCTCAGTGGTTTCCACGAAATACGTACCTTTACTTTTGTAGAAAAGTACTTTGGTTGCTCCCGGTGTTCATAGGGGCATGGGTGCATAGTTCTTCAAAAATATTTTCTTTTCTTGGGGTGTTTTTCATAAATATCTTTTGACGATATTTTATTTTAGGGGTTTTTAAGAAAATATTTTTCGGAAGATATTTTCATTTTGGGCCAGTTTTGTAATTAACTCTTTTTTGTAGGGGCCATTGTGCAATTAGTGAAAGTTATTGTAAAATACCTCGTTTTGAGCCTAGATTCTCATACGGGATTCATTTTCACATTTCGTCGAGTCATGTACTCTTAGAATTTCCTCTCGGTCATTTTCCCCAGTTTTAGGGATTTCTAACCCCGATTGCCGCCGAACTTGTTCGGGGCATATCTCTCTACTCGGTACTCAGTTTTCGATGTTGTTTCTTCCGTTATTCATATTTTCTTATTTCGGTTCTTTTTTGTTCACGGAGTTTTGTTGTTTAGGTGCGTCTGCTCAAATTCCACTTTTCCGGACCCGGCGGGGCATTTTTAGCGTTTTACTATAAATAGAATGTCTTAAAGTGAAAAATCATTTTTTCATCGTCTTCTTCCTCTCTTTGGCCGATAGCCATGGGAGCCTAAGGGGCTACCACTACTCTTTCTTTTTCTCCACTTGATTTCCTTTGTATTTTGCCTTCCGCCTTACCGTTTATCGTAGGCCTCGTCGTGCTCTACCTTTCCCCCTTATTAGAATCCATTTCCGACCACTTTTGAGTTCGGGTTTCAAGTTCAGGTTTGTATTTTCATGGTACCTCAAAGGTTAAAGTTGTTCCTCTCATTGTCCCCGACATAACCCCGCAGTATCGTCGAGTCAGAGTACTTTTCTTTCGGTGGGGAATTGAGATTTGCATCTCAAATTAAGGTAAGGGATGTCTTAGGTTTATATCTTGGTTATATTGAGTGCATTTCATGCTTATACAACTTAATCACATGCCTTTGTATTAAATCTAGAAACTTTATTATTTATTTTTCTCGTATGAGATTTCATTCTCCTGGTTGGTTATAATTTGGTTTAAACATGTGGCATGATATTAAATTACACCTTGATATGATCATTGACATATATTAAATTGAGAGCATTTGGACAAGTCTTGAAGCTTTTATTTAATATTTTTCTTGAATGAAAATTTAATTCATGTGGCCTTATCTAGCTTGAAATCAATATGTGATATCATATTATATTAGGCCCTAGTATACTCTTTAACATATGTGAATTTGAGAGTAATCGGAGGTGTTTTAAAATGTAGAGATAATTATTTAATTTGATTAATTAATTTATTCCAAGTGTACTATTCACTCTATTGGATTTCCGACTTGATATTATTGATGTGCATGCCATATACTTTCACATATATTAAATAGGGAATATTTTATTAGGTTTTGAAATCTTTCATTTATTATTTTTCTTATATGAAGGTTTAATTATCATGGTTGTAGCTTGCATGGAAATTACTTATATCATGTTATTAAATCAAGTCTTGGCATGTTTTATAACATACTTTAATTTGAGAACATTTGGATGAGTTTTAAAATCTAGAGATTTTAATTAAAAGAATTAATTAAAACATATTCAATGGTTCCATGAGCTTGATTAAGTTTCTAACTTGGTATTCATGATTTCCTTGACAAGTTCCTTCACGTGTATCAAATTGAGAATAATCGGATAAGTTTTGAAATTTATATTTAATTATTTTCTTTGTATAGAACTTAATTCACATGGTTGTAACTTGTATTTCATGAGACTTTTAGTTTTTTTTATCATATATCGAGACTTTTTGTAACTTGACTTCATTAATGTGTTTAATGAACTAGCAAAATTGTCTTGAATGATTTAATTATCCATGTATTACTTAGTAAATAATTAAATCATTAATCTTATACTTGTGGTATATTTACATCAATGGGTTCCTTGTGCTATAAATACTAGTTGTAGTCTATGTAGATGCATATTACGATTTCTTGACATTTCACGTGCCATTATAGTTGAGGACTTAAGGCATGACTTGTGTGTTCCAAAATCTTGGTTGTGCATGGAATGTGGTTTAATGCATTACTTGTATCTTGCATTCTTGGTTGCACAACTTGTTAATTTTGGAACTTAGGATATCAATCAAGAATTGACATGGCTAAGACTTGGTTCTAGTACGGGAGATAGAGAGCTCTTTATATTATAGTGCGCACTAGGGGAAGGTACCCATGGGTTAGTAGCCCTAAAGTGATCCCAAGAGTACGGTTTTAATCCGGGTGATATCCGAGTATCCACATTATTTGATTTAAACCCTTAGATTTCAAGTGTTCTCTCTTGAAGTTCTAAGATCTTGTCGTATTTTATGGAATATTCCAACCTTGTTTCATTGCATAGATTTTATGCTTCATCTTTGATTTCACTCCTTAAATGTCAAGTGTTGTATTCCTTAAAGATTTAAGACCTTTTCGTGTTATATGGAATATTCTAACCTTTTTAATTGCATAGACTTTATGCTTTACCTTGATTTCATTCTTTAAATTTCTAGTGTTGTATTCCTTGAAGATTTAAAACATTTTCGTGTTATATGGAATATTCTAACCTTGTTTAAATTACATAGACATCATGCTTTGCTCTTGATTTCCCTCTTTAAATTTCAAGTAGTATTTCTTGAAGATTTAAATCTTGTCGTGTTATATGGAATGTCCTAACCTTGTTCAATTTCATAGATATCTTGATTCATGTTGCTTCATGTTGATACGATTTAGGAATGATCCTATGTAAGCATCTTGACTTAGATTCTAGGTGGCATGAGCCCCTTTAACATGTTTCACATTAAGGTGATATTATTGTAAAATGCTAGGTCTATGCATACTCATTTCCTATGGATAGCTTTATATTACTCACCCCAAAGTTACCGAGGACATATTTCAGGTACAAAGACTTGGTTCATGATACTCATCATTCCTTGGATGACTTGTAGCTTTTAAGTTTCCATTTCATGCAAATGTTAGCATGAATGTCATTTTGTAGCCTTATATATCAAAACTTGTATATTTGATTCCATATATATAATGTGTACATAAGTACACCTTTTATGATGCATTTGACTTGTATGAGATGAGGCCGGAGGCCAATGACATTTATATTACATCTTATATAATTCTTGATTACATGAAATGTTATAAAAACCTTAAAAATTCATAAGTCATTGCTTCCTTTCTTTTGCATCGGGTGTGGGAATTCTGTTTTTATTCTTCCATAGAGTCTCATTAATCATGTATGAAGTGTGACTAAGGGCTAAAAGGTAATTTGACTCTATTTTATATTTTTAGCTTTCAAAATTCCGATTCCAAGTTCATTTTTATCATTTTGGCCGTCGGGGGGTCGGATTTTGAGTCAGGGCTTCTCGGGAGCCGCGGACCATTCCCGTGCGCTTAGAATCATTTATTACACTTGCGTACAGATTCGTTTCAACCTAAAATGCATTTAGGGTCAAATACATACTTGGTGCAAAGTTGTATTTTCAGAGTTTTTAGCCCTCTTCTGATCTAGGGGAATTTTGGCCATTTCACAGTGTGTTTTTTTAATTTTTTTCTGAGTGACTGGGTAAAAAATTTTATTTTGGGAGGGGTTTCTTCTTCGTGTTTTTCCAGAAAAATTCATTTGATAGTCCGTTTTTGCTCTCAGATGTGGACATATACTGTAGCAGCTTTTTGGCCCTCTTGACCTCTTCTGATCTAGGGGTATTTTAAAGATTTGCAGTGAGTTTTTTTCGTTTCTTTTCGCGCTGTCAGATAGAAAATTCGATTTTAGGGGGGGGGGGGGGTTTCTTCTTCGTGTTTTACCATAAAAATTCATTTCGGCTCTCAGTTCTAGCTGAATCTTTTTGTTCCCTAGCATGTCATGGTGCTTGTCAGGATGCTCGTGGTGCCTCGTCTCGACGTCTTGGCGTCAATTTTTGTTTTCACTCGTTCTCTTTCTTCCGAACTCCAAATCGGATGAACTTTTTTTTGGACTTGACTAATTTTTCGCTTTCTTTCCAACGATGTACTCGGTTGCACCCGGATCTTTCTGGATAATTACCAATTTACCCTTTTAGCCTTAAATGCTCATTTTTCTTTGTCATGTCGTTTTTCCTTCGTCCGGACTCCAAATCATGCTATTCTTGAGTCCATCTTGATTAGTTTTTCACTGTCTTTCTAGCGGTGTACTCAATGGCACCCGAATCCATATTTTCAAAAATGACTATTTTGCCATTGGGGCTATTTTTGTCAAGTTTTTCTTGCTTTTCGCTTCCGCTACATTCTTTTTATGAAGTCACGGATGTGTTTCGGGAATGATATACATTCTAGGTACGTCATCTTCATATAAAATGACTATTTTGCTCCTGGGAGCTTAATTGTTAATTTTTCGATCTCTTACTTACGCATCAATACTCATTGAGTTCCACGACCTCATGGAAGGTCATCAAAGTGTCTTAGAGGTGTGTTATGCCTTGGGAGACCGTTCAGTACATACCAGCGCTTTTAAAGAAGCGCTGGTAAAGGGTTATTTAATATATTTTTTTTTCCCCATATTGTTTTTGGGAAAAAAAAATCTTTACGGCTACTAATGTCATCCCAATAACACAAGTCTATAAAAATACCATCCAAATTGTTTTTACATAGTACAACCACAAGTTAAACCTACTGCCAATATGAAAAATACTATCGAAATTGGCTAGTAAATGTCAACCAAAAAGCGAAAATGTTATACAACCACAAGTTAACCTGCCAATATGAAGATACAATCCAAATTGTCTAGATAAAGCTACTAAATGTCACACAAAAGAATTAAGAATTTTTGACAAATGTAGTACAAGTTTTTCAAAAAGAACCCATCCACGGCGAAAGAAATTCAGAAAGCACATCCACTCCCCCATCTTCAGCTTCAACTTCAACAAGTCTTCTTTCCCATTTGATTTGAATTACCCTACATTTTTTATAAATTCATTAAGCGCACATTATAATAAATGGAAACTTAACATATAAGAGAAATTAAAAAAGTTCATAACCTTAATTGAATTGGCATCACGATAGAAAATGAATTTGGAGGTCTAGGAGGAGCATTTAAAGAATCAGAATCCTTCAAAATAACAAAACAAAATACATAAAATCTTGGCATAAGTAAACATATATTTAGTAAAGAGTAAAACTAATAATAAATATACCTGTCTACTACAATTTTGTTGTTGCATCTGCATTAGTCCAACCATTAGTTCTCACTGTAAAAGATTGTTCATTATTAAACTTTCCCTATTTCTCCTATCACGTCCTTGGATTCTAATTATAGAGAAAAACTAGAAAACCGGGAGTAGTTAACATTTACTAAAATGTTTTGTTCTATGATCTGTATTGAAATTTTAGGTTCACTGGTTTTTGCTCTTTCAGTTTTACCTTTTTCTATATATGATAGATTTCTAGAATGATCTGCAAGTCAATGGAAAAGCCTAACACAATAGAAGTAAAACACTAGTTTTGAGTTCTTTGATCAACAGCAGCACGACTACTTTGGCAATAATGTATTGTTCATTGATTGTTGACGGTTCTAAGATGAAATGTTATGTACTATCTGAGTACGAGATAGAGTTGCTAACTGATGCTTTTTTTTTTCTTTTTTTCTAAGCTTAAGGCTTTTCTGGGAGTAATTATTGCTCATGTATGAATTAATTGTGTTTGATGTGTAGTCAGCTCTATGGATTTATCTATGTCCTTCTAACATAACCCTGGTGTTTTCAATATAAGAAAATTCTAAATCCTACTAAATAGAGGAGCCATTGTTTTAAGCTTAAAATATAGTCATTGAAGTTTGCTCATGACTCTGCATACCAGTCAACGTGTTACACACACACACACATTAGCAGTCAGATTTTGCATCTTGGACTATAAAGGATGAATTGATGAACATGTGAGAAATAAAGGAATGAACAATGATTATTGATATATATGTGTGTGTGTGTGTGTAAAGATTTATGTTCTGATATAGAGAATCAGAATTTGACTACAAAGAGGAAGTTCCTCCTTACATGAAGGGGCATGGACAAGTGACAAGGCTAGCACAAAATCCATGGAGAAACTTTAAACCTACCTACCAATGATCCAAATCCATCCACTGCCCCACTAGTTCTCCCCACAAATGAAAGAAAAGAAAAGAAAAGGATTTAGATTTTCATGCCAACTAAACAATCATAGGAACATGAACACTTCGAAAGTAAAATGCAAACAAAGGAGCCCCATCGATCCTATATGATAATAAAATTTCAAGAAACAAAATTAAAAAAATCCTTTTCTCTTACATCAAAGGGTCCCACCCCAAGTCCCCATTTTGGCCCCTATCAATCCCATTTTTAGGTTAATGGCTGATATTCAGCTATGTCATATTTTTTCATCAAATAAACAATGACTAGAGATTTTTTTATTTTTTTATTTTTTTTTTTCAGTATACAGTTGAATGTTCTGTATCTCAGCCGTAGCATTTTATGATCTGTCATGTAAATTTTTCAGTGTCTGAGAATTGTGGAGTAGTAGCATGTATTTTCTTATTTTGTCCTGCCATCATTTTTGGATAGTTTTGTTTTTTTGTTCTACACTTTTAGAGAATGATATGTAATGAAACACCCAAAATTTATTATTTCTTTCTATAACTAAAGATGCTGAGAAAGTTATATCTGCAAGATTCATCATGTTTATTTATGCATTTCCAAATGATGAAATATGAGAGTGCAGTAAGTTACAGTGATTAGAAAATATTTCCTTCTTAAAGACTATGTTTCAAAAGTGCTGGAAGCATAAAATTGTAACTTTTTTTTTTTCCCAATAAGCCATAAAATTGTAACTTCATTGCTTCATTGTGCATGTGTGTGTGAGAGACACAAAGAGTGATTGAGAGAAAAGTAGTTAATGTCACAATCTGAAGTCAACTAAGAATAGAGAAGCAAAGTATAGATTTTAAAAGTGAATTCATAGGAGCGAACATGAAAATTTCTGTTGGATACTTGAAGTATAGATTTTAAGAATAGAGAGGGGAATTTAAATGAAAATTTTTGAACTGAATATTGGATTTGGTCAATACAGGTTGGGGCTAGAAACCTACTTTCAAAGGTTAATGGCTGCTCAGAATTACTTCCGTCTATTACTTATGGTACAACTTTTTAATGTACTTTTCAGAAAAGGAAAAAAGAAACAGAAAAAACATGTTTCTTGGTAGTATGACTTGTATTTTGGCTTTATAAACCTAGCAAATGTTATCAGTGTATGGTGTAACATGGGGATGACCAGTTCTTTTATGGACGTTCAGTCAGTATGGTGGTGCATGAAAACATGTATGTGCTATGTATAAACTGCAACACATAAAATTAAAACCCAAAAATTAACATCACAATACTAATATGTTTGTTGTAAATGCATTTTATATGATTATAGATTTCAATCAACAAGAAGCCTCCACATAAAATGATCCTATACTCCCATGCTTTTCAACAAATGCAAGAAAGTAAATTGCCTCCACACGGGCCGATGATAAATAATGAAATTAAAATGCCTCCACACGGGCCGATGATTTAAAAATTGGTCACTTCAAGGCATGTGACCCCCTAATACACCGCAAAGAGTTTAAAAATTGGTCACTTCAAGGCACGTGTTCTTTTTGCAAAATGGAAGCATGAAAACTTACAATTATCTCTGAAGCAGCAGCATCAGTAGCACGTGACCCCTTTTTTGTTCACTCACTTTTTCCACTTCACTAACCATTCGTTTCATTGTCAGCTTATTATTTATCCCTCCTGGAAAAGCAAACAAAAAAGTGAGAATTCATTTAAGAGAATGCAATCAAATTGTTAAAAAAAGGCAGTGCACAATCCAAGAATCTTTTTAGGTTTGTACAACTTAACCATCTTGAATTTTTTCATCATTTTTATGGATTTTTAATAGCATAAGCTTTAGTGCTTCACCACTTCTGCAAAATTACATGATGGATTTTACTATTTTTACTATTTCTATAGGTGAGTAAAAATAGGTGATCAAGGTGAAATTCACCATCCTGTGAAATTTCACACGGCATGAAACTGGAAAAAAAAAATTAATAAAAAAATTAATAATAATAATAATTTCTTGGAGAGAATTTTGATTCTTTGATGTATTAATCTTTTAAAAGCCTAAAAAAAAACATATATATAAAAAGAAGCAAAGCTTCTAATGTACTCTGTCCGTCCCACAATAGTTGTCCACATTGGGAGGGAAGGAGATAGTAATAGAGAAGTTAGTTACAGAGTGTGAACAACATGATTCGTGTTAGTTATATAAGTAATTATTATTTTAAAAAAACCAAATTTTATATAAGTAATTATTTACTTTCCTTATCTTGTCTTGCAATAGTATTATATTTCTCCCATTTTCCTGTAGGAACTCTTATGCAATTTAACAAAAAAAATAATAATAAATAAATAAATAACATTCTTATGCAGTAACAGAGACTGATCAGACTAGTCCCGTCAACTCTAGAGAATTGTTCGTAAAATGTTAGGAAAGTGAAAGGTTGCTTCAGTTGGAGATACTTGTGTTGAGAAAGGAAAGGAAAAGAAAAGGGAAAAGGAAAAGGAAGAAAATAAAATAAAATGATTCCATCTATTTTTTCAACATTTGCTTTAATGTCCTTTCTTGTCATGGGTCCCTTCTCTTTAGGAGAATGTCTTACATAGATATATAGAAAACTTGCATTCTTTTGTTGAGGTGACCCCAATGCATGAAGCCATAAATTGAGCTTGTTAAGTCAAGAATGAATAAGCAAAAGAAGAAAGAAAAAAAAAAGAAAAAGAAAAGGGATACCAACTAATGATATCCTTATGTGAGAAATCATGAAGTGGGTATGTGTCTATGTTGTATGTGTGTGTGTGTGTGTTGGGAGAGATGGAAATTAGAAGGTGAATGCCAAAAATTTTTAAATCTTTTCATTTTTTCATTTATGTTCAATAAGCACATAAAACACAAACAGATTCTAATATTCAATAAGAAATTAGTATATAGTTTATTTTAGCAAGCATAAATATTACTCGAAAAAGATATAAAATGCTGAATTCATGCGATTTTTCATGATGAGAAAAATATCATAGTAAAATATAAATGTTAAAAACGTGCACACATACTACCTGACATTTTAATGGTGGAAAAATGAATTGTTATAGAAGATGGACACGAAGATTCATCTACACATGATAATGTCATAACGAACCAACAAATGCTCTGTTGCAAGGAAAGAACATTTATAGGGAGTAAGTAACAATGTTTGCGCAAGACATTTTTGTTTTGGTTTTTTTAGGTAAGGATACATGTGATATGAACAATAAAAAAGTATGTACAAGTTCAGGTATATCATTCTTTCCATGAGATTTTTTTACATGAAAAACATTTTCTGATATAAAAACATTTTATACCAAAACCAATGGGGATGAGAGAGAGAATCTGGAAAGCAATAAACAAATTCAACTTCTCCCTCTATATATACACATATATATATATATAATATAATCACTAAAAAAGATATACTACTCTTTTATAACATGATATTAATCTAAAAACAAAGCCTTCAGAAATCCTATGAAATGGACAGACCCTACAATAATTTGGTCATGACTGGAAAAGTCCCAATACATTTCACTTCATCCTTCACAACCTCTGTCAAAGTTCAAGTTCAACAAGCATTTCGGAATGAATTTATTTTTCGTAATATTTTAATAAACTAAGAGAAAGTGAAATCCAATGTTAACAGGCAACTATCTAAATTGTCAGGTATAAAGGATAGGAATGGTAAAAAGAACAGATCTCTAATAATACTCATTAATGTTGGAGCTTCTGAACAATATATATCTAGAATAATTGTCAAAGATTAGAACAATTTAACCAGCTAATGTGTCTGGCATGCGATGGATTGCGATATTGTTGGTAGTACCAAAGGATTGCGTTCCAAATCAGGGCACGATGAGAAGTCAAATTAAACTTTCAGATCAACAGATTCCCAAAAAAAAAAAAATAGAGAAAAGTAAAGAAAAATTCAAAGTCCAAAACAAAAAAGTTCAAACAATCAAACATAGGAAGTTAGGAGCACACCTTGTTTAGACTTCAGAAAGCTGTAAGGAGGAGGCAAGGAGCTCCAAGGCTTTTGCGATGTCCAGTGGTTGGGGGCAAGGAGCTAGGGCTTTTGCGAAGAGAGTCGTCTGCCGACTTTGCAGAAATAAAGCTAGGGCTTTGTAACTTTCCTACTAGTGCACGTTGACAAATATGGTAATTTCATAATTTAAATTTTAAAAAAATATATACAAAGGTAATCAAAATCAGAAGGCGAACAGTTACTAACCTAAAAAAATTCTTGTCCGATCTGTTAGTGTAGACGAGGTTTTGGAAACCCCAACGACGACTCTTTCTCTCTGTGTGTGTGACTTTGTCTCTCTAAACCAAGCCACCAGTTTTGGAACGCTGACCGGTGATGGAAGGAGAGACCGGTGACGGAAGGGCGAGAGAGCGGCTGAAGGTGTTAGGGTTATTGCAAAATGAAATGGGAAAGGGGAATAAAGTGTTAATTGGCTCTCAAAAACAAAGTAGTTTAGGGCCCAAAATCAACGGAGGGAAAAAAATGGAGGGAAGGGAAAAAAAAAAAAAAGGAGGGAAGGGAAAAAAAGGCTAAAGACTCAATACTAGCGCTCCTAAAAAGAGCGCTGGTACAAAAGACCCAATACCAACGCTCATTTTAAGAACGCTGCTACTAAAAACCCAATACCAGCGCTCCTTTTAAGAGCGCTGGTACTAAAGACCCAATACCAGCACTCCTACAAAGAGCGCTGGTACTAAAGACCCAATACCAGCACTCCTAATGAGAGCGCTGGTACTAAAGACCCTATACACCCTATACCAGCGCTCCTAAAAAGAGCGCTGGTAATAGTGCACCTACACCAGCGTTCTTTGAACGCTGGTAAAACCCCAATCTGTTGTAGTGGTTGTCTTGTTTCTTACTTCCGCATCTGGATCCACTATCAGGTCAATCTTCGATTCAACACAGGACACACTGGCTTGAAAAACCAGGGCCGTCACAAGATTTTTTTTTTTTTTTTTACCTGTAAAATTTTTTACCAAATAGTATTTAGTTTGCAAAACAAGAATTACTGACCTTGATTAGTTGATTTAGAAAAAAATTTAAAACAAAACCCATACATACTAGTTAGCAGTTGCAAAGAGAGGGGGGTAAGCTTGAGAGTTGAGAGACAGCGGCTGAAGCTTGCAAACTACGAACCCGAACTGGAACAATCAATTGTCTAAAGAAACGTTGTTGTATATGGGTTTTGAACTTTTGATTCTTGTAGATTTTGTAGTTTGTGATTGGAGAGAGAGAGAGAGAGAGAGAGAGAGGGGGGGGGGGGGCAAGTTCAGAGTTGAGAATGAGAATAAAGATGGAGGCTGAAATGATTAGCCCTAACAATTTTTTTTTTTTTTTTTTTCCTGGTGGTCCATCATCCATTGAAAGGCTAAGCAAAAAAAAAAAAAAAAAAGTATGGTGTTTCTTCTGGAAGCAAAGCAAAATAAAATTAAAAAACTATTTTGTCAGTGAAACCCATTTCAGTTGGGTAATATCCAACTTAAGATGAATAGGGGTTGAATGACACTTGGCATGCCATTATTGGGCCACGTATGGACAAACTTCATCGAACCTAGGTTGGATGCAAGTATTGTCCTCTTTTGCACAACTTTTTTATTTCTATAATATATTTGACTTACCAAGAAAAGAAAATAGAAATTAATTTGTCCTTTGGTTTCATTTTGGAAATAATTCCCCGCTTTCAGTTATTATGGTTACAGTCTTTAACCAATATAAGCCAGCATATAGGTCGCAAGATTTATCAAGGTCTTTAAGGCTCCATTTGGTTAAATGGAAATAGAAATAAATTAAAGAAATGAAATGAAAACTTTTTGAATACTTTAGTTTGGTTAAAAGGAAAAGAAAAATATATAGGAAAAATTACTTTTCATAACCACCTAACTTTCTTATAAAAATTTTCTACAAAAAAATTAATAAAAAATTTTGATTTCTTGAGAAAATGTTATGAACTTAGAATAATGTCATTTCTTCTATAGTAAGTTTCAATGTTATTGTAACCATAAAATGTTTATTTCCCATAATTTTCTTTAAAAAAAAATCATGTTGATCAAATGCACAATGAAAAATTTTCACTTTCATTTTTTTGAATACTTTTTATGCTAATCAAATATTGCAAGATGAAAATTTTAATTTTCTTTCATTCACTTCACTTCACTTTTTTTTTCCCTTGGTGCTTAATGCTGATCATCGACAACAAACATACACAATAAAATGCTTTTTACCTTCCAAATATAATAATAATATAAAAAGCTTATAGTTTGAACATGGATACTTGCTGATCAATTGAGTAGAAGGATTAATTTGCACACTGATTCATTGTAATTGGGAAGACCTCAGCTTCCACGTGTTCATTTTATTTTTAAATTTCTAAATTATTTTAGTTACCACTAAACAAAAATTTCCCCCTTGTCTGTCCTATTTCTCATGGACGGAATGTAATAGCATAGTTAGGTCCACCATTGCAAGTGAAAGCACTAGTTGGGCCATCATAGGCATAGCTACAAGCCAAAGGACACTTCCCTTCAAAGTACTGAGTGTAGTTCGTTGGTGGACAAATCGCTTCTGTGTTATAAGCTCCAGTGCAACAATACTGTGGCTGATCAAATGCTAGGCATGCAGTCTTGCAACTAATTGTGGCACCAGCCAAAGGACACTTCCCTTCAAAGTACTGAGTGTAGTTCGTTGGTGGACAAATCGCTTGTGTTATAAGCTCCAGTGCAACAATACTGTGGCTTATCAAATGCTAGGCATGCAGTCTTGCAACTAATTGTGGCACCATCTGAATTTTTCACCGCAAGATCCGCTGGATAATCAGCATTGACGTCGGCTGGGCAGGAAGAGGGGCTGCAGATGCCGGATCCACCTTGTGGGGTGATGGAAACCGGCAAGTTGAACCCATCTACTACGCTAATGTCGTAAAAATCTTGTCCATTGTTAGTTGCTAGGGCTAATTCTATTAGGGTTGCTGGAGGAATTGCACTGGCACCATTGCAACCTATCTGACCGGAGGCACAGTCGGCAGTCTGACAGCTGAACTTCCCACTTGCGTCCGTGGGGCAAAAAGTCCGTGCCCAAAACTGGCCGGTCCACGGGGCGGGCACATTGAGAGACGATGAGACTTTAGATGCTAATTCGAACCCCGTTGACAATAATTGAGCGCCGCCACCGCAATGAGGGTTCCGGGCCAAATAGTGTAAGAGCAGTTGTTTGTGAATGTGAATGTGGTTGAGTGAGCCTCTGTAATACAATATATATAGTTAAATCTTTTACCTTTAAAAAAAGACGCTAAATAAAAATACTATGTAGAGCATCAATGCAGTCAGTTCAAATCAAAACTATTTAGGTAAATACTTAATAGGCTTCACATAAATATTTTTTTTAAGACAGAAATATATGTGTACCTATAAATCAATATTTACACACATCAAGCATTTGAGTTCATAAAAGATTTCTTATAATACAGAATAAAAAGGTTAAAGGGTTCAACTCCTTTATAAGTTTGAATGTGTGAGTTTTTCATATAAAATGTGGATGAGATTAATTTTGGTCCACAAGTTGGAATCCTTCTTCTTCTTCTTCTTTCTTTTTTTTTTTTTTTTTTTTTCGCCGAGTCCACAAGTTTGGAATCCATAACAAGAAATATCAACTTTTTCATACAAATTAATTTTGGACTTAATGTTTGAGAGATAATGACACACATCATGAATGTGCACCTACTACAATATTATTCACACACGAATATATGTATATATATATAAATAAGTCTTGATCTCTTGCTCTCCGTGCAGCAAAAAAATTAATTTACACTTTTTATATAGATTGTTCGATTAAATTTAACAGTCATTTTTCAAACTCACTCATATTCTTTGTTTTAACACAAAACCACTCTCACCCTATTCGTAGGTTTCATATTTAATTTGACCATTACTACCTTTGTAGCCATAAAAGGTAATTACCAAAATAAAAATAGAAATCTTTGAAAGAAAGATAATATCAATATATATTACTAAAATTTGTTTTTCTGTAGCTGTTTATTTGAAAAAATAATAATAATATCTATTTATTACCAACTTTTAATTTTGCAATCAAACTTAAGCAGAATGCAGTAGTTTGATATTAGAACATTTTCCCAAGAAACATCTTGTTGTCATGCTTACTGTATATCTTAGTGTTCAATGGTATGTGCACTATTTTGCATATGCACATATTAAAATTCAAATAAATATACTTGTCCAATATAAGTAAATTTACAAACAAATATAGTTTCTGGAATATTGAATTGATAGTTGGAATTGAAATTGAATAAATTTTCATTTAAAGTTTGAACAAATTTTTTTTTTCTATTTCAATTTTAAAATGTCTCGGTGTCCTCAAACTAGCTCAATTAGATTTTGAGGAGTTGCGTTTGGCAAAAACTCTTGTGTTCAAAGATATAAAAATTGGATAATGCAATAGCAAAGATTTTTCTATTTTTATTTTGGTAATTACATTTTATTGCTACGGTGGTAATATAAAATTAAATATGAAAATTAAAAATAGAGTGAGAGTGGTTTTGTGGTAATAAGAAATGATATAGTTGGGTTAGAAAAACGACCATTAAATTTAATCTAATGCTCCATATAAAAAGTGTGGATTAATTTTCTTGCTGCACGAGGAGCAAGAGATCAAGACTTATATATAAATATAAATATATACATATATACATATATATATATATATATATATGTATGTATAATATCTGAAGAGGAAATATAAAATAACTTAAAAAATAAGAAAACAAAACTTACAGGAATCAAAAAATGGTGACAAGGGCAAGTACGCCGAGAAAAACTCTAGCATTCATCATTTTATTTAAAAAATGTAATAGTGAGTTCTGTTTTGTGTAGTAGTAGTATAGGGTTATAGTGTTATAAATATAGGGTTTGTTTTTGGATATTTTAATTTGGCATTGATTTTTTGTACAAGATTATTAATGTAATTCGTGACCGTGATCTAGGAAGAGTTCAATTATGACTGGAATTTGAAATTTTGGTCATGCGTGAACCAAGTGGTTCTCATTTTGTCAAAAATACTAAATTTGACCAATTAATATAATTTTTTTTTAACATATTAGCTTGATTTGCGGAAGAAATTCCAGCACAAGCCATGCGATGTGATACGTTCATGAATTAATGGAAATATGTCGAAAACAGCAGACAATTTTCTATTTTTTTGCCAACAAAAAAAATATAAATATATAGATTTTATGATATTGTTAAAGTTTAAAATAAGATATTATTTAATTTAATGCAAATATATATATTTAAAATAATAATGTGTTATTGTTTTATAACTCTTTTAATGTTGGATGTATTAATCCATTGAGCTATCGCTCTTTATATTGCATAACATGTTTTTCAGAAAAATAAAATAAAAAATAATATATATTTATTTTTGTATAAATAACAATAAGCTATTATTAAATGCACCTAAACTTTTTAAGTTGGTTAGACACATGCTTCTCCCCACATTATTTTTATTTTTTATATAATATTATTTAAAGGGATAAACACTTGTGTTATACAAAATGTAATAGTGAGTTCTGTTTTGTGTAGCAGTAGTATA